AATTTTTGACGAAAAGATATTCTCTTACCCAAATTTAATAGGTAAGAAGCTGTTTGTTAGATCCAAAGAAACTGTAGCAAGCCCTTTACATAAAATGATTAAAAATGGAATAAAATCAACAAAACTCTGTTAGTTTGACGTACAAAAATGCACTGAGGCGAATGAAATGAAGCTAACTGGTAAAGAAAATGCAACTATAGAGGACTGTTGCGTTCATTTTAATTTTATTACCTGCAATGCTCACCACAAAGACAATATGGAAAATTTTACATTTATAGCAAACTTAGCTATAAGCTCAGTTAGAGTCGTAAAACACAGTTTCAAAAAGTTTAATCTCAATAAAGTAGATTTTAGTGACGCGAGATGACCTTTTAATTGATCTTATTTCCTCATTTTGTTTTTGCTTTTTTTTGATCAACCATCTAGCGAAATGTCCTCGGCCAGAAAGAAATGAAGAAAGAGAAAGAAATAGGAATGCGATGGTTGCCGCAGTCTAGTATGTGTGCATGTGTGTGCAATCAATTAGTGTTATGCCTCTACGACTGAGCACTCACTGCACTCATAACACCCATAATTACTTGAGTCCACTTAAAGAACATTAAACGCGTTGATTACAACTCTGGTAAGCTGCAATGTTACCGTTGAGTCAAGTAAAAAGTAAAAACACTCTAGCAGGCCCCGGGTCACTATTAAGTACTCTGCACCACTCTGCATTTATTCATACAATGACTTTTCAAAATAAGGCCTTTTATTTGAAGTGGTCGAAAAAGTGTCCGATTCGAACCATTTCCAATAAGATTCGTCCTAGGATTAAAAAATATCAGTTCGCCAAATTTTATACAAATACTTCAAAATTTGATCTATAGGTTGATCATAAGAAAACAACACGGACCGACGGACAGACAAGCTTACAAAAGGATTCTGAATCGAGCGGTTTAATAAACGAGGGCCTCGTCTTGAGCTCTTCCGGGTGTTGCATATATGCGCACAAACTTGATATACTTTTGCACCACAGGTGCATTCACATTACTTAATAATTCTTTTTCTTCTAATTTATGGATTAAAATATATCTTTCCCGACAAAGGATCTGGACTAACAACTTTATGGTCGCAGTTTTAAATCTCAAGCGCGGTAAAGTTTGCTTTAAAATTTTAGTCTTAGGATATAATTCTATTATAATAATAATAATAATAATAATAATTGTAACCCTTTTTACTCTGGCCAGCAAATATATCCCTTGAAAAATAGAAATTGATTAATACTATGCACACGCACACACAATTGTTTATTCAACCTACTCAATTATTGTTTTTTTATACTCCTCCCTATGAATTCTCGCTTGAAACGAAAAATTTCATATCTGTATCGCTCAAAGCCGAAAGCTGACTTGATTTGAATTGAAATTTTAATTAAAACAAATAAATAACATTTCATAATTGTTATAATATGTAAATGAAAAAAAACCAAAAAAAAAAAAATTCATAAAATTAAATAATTCAATATATTTTTGATTATAATCGAATCACACTTGTGTGCAATGAAAACAAAGGAAGATAGAGCTGAAAAGTAATTTTCTAATAACATTTTAATAAAAATTAGTTTTTCGTTCTTCCCATAGACAAATATGCTCCCTGCCTCGACAGGCGTTAATATAAAAATAAAGTAAAAAAGACAACCACAAGCAAAACGAAAAAACAAATAAAAGCCAAGAAATCAACTTTTTGTTATGTTTTTTGTTATTCTCTCTCCTTCCCTCCGTTAGCAAGCAAAGCACAAAATTGTTTGTGACACTAAACCAACAATAAGAGATATTAACAATAACAACAAGAAGATTGTAGCAAAAAAATAAACAAAATAGTAAAAAAAAAAGGAAAACACAATAATATTAAAATTGATGAAAAACAAGTATAACAAAATGAAATGCTGATGCTGCCATTGTTTCTATTGCTTGTGCAGTTTGAGTTGCTGCTTACATTTTCTCCGTTTTATTTTACCTAAACTCCCACTTCCCACAGGCACATCAGCAGAAGCTAAAGCTGCTGCTGTTGTTGATGCTAAGATTTAATAAATGAAATTGGTGTGTGATTAAAAACACAAAAACCAAACGAAATCCATCTAATCAACTTTTGTTCTCCCCCTCTTCACCGTAATATGCCTTACCCCATTTTTGAAAGCACACAACACACACCACAAGCTACCCAAAAAACAATTTGTTGAAAAACCACCCGAAACGGAAGCAGCAGCCATTTGCTCCTTGTACATGTTTGTGTAATAAAGCAGCATCACGTGCTAAGGAGAGTGCAAAACAAATGTAAGAACGAAATAATAAAAAACAAAAAAAAAAAAGAAAGAAATTATATGCAATCAAGTAGTATAGCAGAGGTTATGGCGTCTCTGTTGGGTGGCTTGTTCTTTCATGCATAAAAGCAAAAAGCAAAAACAAAAAAAAAAACAAAAAAAAAGCTAAACATTAAGAGGATACAAAAAGAAAAGATTTTTAACTGCCCATACCAAGTCAAATGCGAACACATATGGATAGTAAGAGAGTAAAGTATTTGAGTTGTTTTTCAATAGAAGGCGGAGTCTTGGTAAAAGAGAGAATTTCCCTAAAGGGAAATTCTTTTATATATCCCATCATTTATAAGGGGTATTTTAGGTTTGAGTTTTGGATAAAAACCAAGGTTCTCGATATTAAAAATGGGAATAATATTCAATCAGATCAAAGAATTCATACACATTGAAAAAATTTAAAAAGATTTTTAAGCACATTTTTACACGACATGCAACTTTTTCCTCAGATGGTCTCTTTTTAGTCCAATTTTGAATGAATACAGTTTACCCAAACAAAATTTCTTTTAAATTGTAATTTAAACAGTGTCTTACAAACGTTTATGTATACGACAATAAAATTGGAGTAATAACGTGATCAGAAGTCGGTCGGTATAAGGCCAGTTACCAATAACAGACTTTGTAACAAGAAAAAGAGCTAATAGAGGCCGTTAATGACGAACGAAATTGTTTAGTTGAATCAAACCTGACGGTTGTGCTAGACATTCGCTGATGACAGTCAGTATGGTCTAATCTCGAATAATGTGCACCCTTATTATCAGCGAATAGTTGCGAAACTGTTTTTTATTTTACTTCTGGACAATATTTTCGCTGCACACTAATATTAATTTTTTTGTTATGATAATGAATTGTTTCATTATTACTTTTTTTGCACGATTTTTCGGAAAAACATTTAAAGCTTTTTCATCCTACACGATTTTTGAAAGCTGTGATATCTAAAAATTTTTCATTTTCGTATGTATATCGTACGATATTTTTTGCATGGTTTTCTAACAAATATCTCGAACGTGTAAAAAAAATTTGGGCGTATCTCGATTTGGTCCACATACCACACACATTAACTTTGGCATTTTACTCTAACATCCAAAAATAATCTTCAAAGAGAAGGGGAAATTCCTTCTTTCCTTGTTTTTGCATCACTCACATATGAGCTATTATTGATTGAAGGAAGAAGTTTTCGTAACGATTTCTAATTATATTTTACCGTTATATGGATTTTAATCGCATCTGTGGGAATACGTAAGAACATAAAATTTTCCCCTGTGTTGATAAAATTTTACTTGATTATCTATCCAGTTATGCTGAGGTATCATTCACTGAGTAAATCAAGGACCTTAAAAGAAAATATGTTTCTTGGAAGTACAGGTTATTCTTCTAGGTTACTTTGAATTGGACTAGTTTCCCTAACTCAGTTATTTTGTACGTCATCATATAATGGATCTCAACACTGTTAAGTCTCACGACTGCTCACTCATTTATCTCCAGCTGAATTACTAGTGATCTAGCGTTACAAGCTGGTGCTTGTGCAGGCGTACGTGTTTGTGAGTATTGGCTAACATTTACGGACAGAAATGTAAGCACGCACGTTGGGCCAAAAACGTCAGAGCACCATTTGTCACATCGGATGGACAGACAAAAGACGTACGGACAAGCTTAAATCAATTCACAAAATAGTTTTTAATCGATTACCGATATAAAAAAAATGAATCTATCTCAAGTCCTTCTCGGTGGTACAATCGTCCGCCCAAACTATATATACCCTATACCACAAGTGGTATAGGATATAAAGAGCTTATCGTGTCGTTCTTCCAATAGGGCAAACAATATTGTTACGTCACAAAAACTTTAAATAAAAGATTACTCATAGCTTGTAACGTTTTTGTGATATTGTTTAGAATATGTGTATAAGAGTAAGCAGTGGTATGATTTTCGTTTATACATTTTATTGTCATTTTCAACGAACTCACAAAGTGAAAAAAATGGAAAAGATTTGCTTTATTAGAAAATATAAATTTATTCTGTGAACTTGGCAACCTTACCACTAAATATAATTGAATGTTAAGAGAAACTGAGAATTCCAACTAGAAATGATAATGTTAGAGAGAAGAAAAAAGAAAAAGAGAAAGTTAATGAAACTGGAAATCTGACGTAAAATAGCTTTTATTTTGGTCATTAAAGCCTCATTTGTTGTATCTATTTAGCAGTCTTTGCATAAGCCATGTACAAAAAATTAAAACTTTACTCTCATTTATAGAATTTTATTCTCACAAATAGAACTTTATTCTCAGCAAAATCAAACGGTCATTGCATAAGAAATGTATAGGAAAGTAAATTTTATTCTCAGGAATAGAATTTTACTCTCAGTAAACTTAAAAAAGGCATTGAGAAAGAAAGAAAAGCATATGAAAGAGAAGCAGCTGGTATTTCTCACTGGGATCTCTGTGGTGAGTCTACATCTATGAGGAAACTGAAGTTGCAAACATTTTGAATATTATTTTTCTTTAAAGACGTAGCGAACATAGCGATCGTAGCGATTGCAGCGGATTAATTGTTATCTTTAACGTGTGAGAAAGTTTTTATGGACATTTTGCAAAAACAAAATAAAAAAAAAAAATACAAGATTTAATAATCATAATAATAATAAATAAAAACTCTGAAAATAAATCAAATTCGTTTAAAGTAAAGACAAAATTTAAATAAAAACAAAAATCCGCGTGCTTTTTTAATGTGCAAAACCACTACGCACAATATTAAAATTAATGCATGCTTGTACAGAAATGTGAGAATAATTTCATAGAATGTGAAGAAGAATCAGAGAGTGAAAACGATTAAGTTTGTTTGATGTTGTTTTTTTTGTTTTCTATTAAACGACTTGAAAAGAAATCCGTTTTATTTTTTCTGCATATATACCAGAGCCGGTAAAAGAGACGGAGTAAAAATTTAAAAGTGGACATAAAAGTAATCTTTTATTTAATTAAATTCAAACTGACTTCGATAGATAAAGAAAAACCCTTTAAAGTGTATTGTATAGTAATAATAAATAAATAAAAAGTCAAGTTTTCGTGTGTCGAACTATCTTATCTTTCACCTGATACTGGCTTATGGTTATCGTACCGTTTTACACTTTGCAGACTTACATTATATTCAACTACACATTTGCTCTAAAAGCTATTACTTGTGGAAAAATTACAAAACAATTTGATCATAAAAACATTTAACAAAACAAACAAAGAATAATAAAAGCGAAGTAAAAAATAACTTTACAACAAAATTAACTATAATTCTATCCTCGCCTGCAATTCACTCGGCGTTCGCCTGTCTTCTTAGTGATTTATGTAGACACAAATTCTTCCTAAAGTAGCACCACCATAGCAGTTAATAACAGCAAATTAAAGACACTAAAAGAAAAAAAAAAAGACTGTCGCCGTTACTTGAGACATACTCCTAGTTTTTCTTTTTTTTTTTATAAAATTTATTAAAGTGAAATACTCTTGTATTAAGCATTTTTGATTAAATATAATTTAGTCTTCCGCCTGCATTCTTGAAAGTTTATATTTCCTGCATTGAATGCAACAGCTGTTACTGGTGTTCTCAATCGCGTTGCTCAGTTTTTTAAGCTTTTTTTTTCTTGTTCTTATTTAAAAACGAGTAGCAACAACAACAAACAGCCTAGTGCAGCAGGTACGCGTGCGGTTATATTGTGTACTGTGTCTGCTTCTCCTATCATCCTCTTAATCATACATTTGCTTATGAGTATTTACGACCTGTTTTAAGCCACCTGCTGCTTAACGCTAATCATCTATTAATAGTAGGAAAAGCGTACTAAATTTAAACGAAAATGTAAGTGTTTTTCTTTTTTACTTATTTTGAAGAATTGATTGTTTTCTTTCTTTTTTATTTTAATTTTGTTGCCAACATTTTTTAGGTCTACCTAATAAAAGTGTATATTTTTGCTTGATTTGTTTTTATATGATTTTATTTATTTCGTTATATGCTTGTTTAACTCTCTCACTTCATTTTTTTCTTTTTTTTTTTTTGTTTTTAACAACAAAAATAACAAATCAAAGAGTTCAGTAAGTCATAAGGGTTGCCAAGTATAGAAGTTATAATTTGTTTTTAACATAAGTGAAAAGGATATAACACTAAGAAGCTTAAATCAAGTGTGACAAATATATGTAAATTCCTTAGGAAAACGGTGCTTTTACTTGAATATTTAAACAATTTCTCTTTACATGATCTTATCAGTTCCTAACAGAACATGAGACAGGTCCATCTTCTATTATATCGATCGAGATAGGATTAGATTTAGGCTTATCTGTTTGCCTGTTGGTTTCGTTCCGCTATGTTTAACTCACACGATCAGTTTTGAAATACTTTGATGAAATCTGGCGGGTTTGGTCCAACAACGAACGGTGCGGATCGGATCACTTTTTCGACCACCTATGCAGCGTTTTAAATTAGAAACGTGCTATATGAAAAACTATAAGGTGATGTAGGATTCTTCAAGGAGGAGCGTGGGCCACTGATTTCTTCTTTTTTTTACTAAAGTGTTTTCCCAGTTTTTTTTTTTTTTTTGTTGTTTTTAGAATATTGAGTTGTTTGTAGTAGGTAATAAAATTTCAAGGTTATTTTGAAATTATTTTCGTCATATCCAACTTTGTAACTACTGTGTGGTTGAGTTTTTCGTATGATTTATTCACGCTGCAAAGTAGGTGTAAATGAGTTTAAATCAAATCTGAACTATTTATATTGGCTGACTAGAATTTTTGTACTCGCTGCCGAAGAATGCTCACATATTGCGTTAATATTTGTACAGTTACAATAAACAAACGTAAGGTATATATCTTTTTAATCAGCGTAAAGTTTGCTTTTTCTGCCAATGCTCCTTCGTACTCTTCTGTCTGAGAAAAATTCAAGATTGAACACCAATATTCGTTGTTCAACGCTAAGGTTAAGGTACTAAGCAATAGTTAAAAAACCTCGAAATTTGAAAAGAACTTTAAAAACAAATCTTGAAAGCTTAACCAATCGCTTTTACATTAAAGAGTAAGAAAGTTTTTTACTTTTTTATTTGCTAGTCCTTAACTTACTTTCAAGTCCTAGAAGTTATTCCTTACTTCTTTATCGTCACTTTCAGAATAGAAATGTTTGGGTTCTTGTAAAAGCCATAAAACAGTGCATTAATAATGAGTATCTACGCTCTGATTGTGAGTCGCTTTTCAAAATGTCTGAAGTGCACATGGCAAGCCTAGCCATTACTCTTGCTCGTGAAATGCTCTCTTTGTTGAACATTTTTTTTTTTATCTCCAAGTTACTCTTTTGCATATTTTTTTTTTTTTTTAAAACAACCACTTGTTTCTATTTTTGGATACCGTTCCTATTTTTTATTTGTTGTTTTGTTTGTGCCCTTTTCATTTTTGTTTTTTTAACTGCATATTCTTTACGATATATAAATATATACATATATATAGCAACGTGTCTGTCATTGGATACAAAGAAACGTTTTGTGTATTTCTGTTTTCCTTTTTTCGTTTTGATTTTGTTTTTGCATATTTGAAATAAGAAAACGTGTTTCTTTCAATATATTGAGGATGAGAATCGGTCGCGATCATAGTTAAGTGAATGTGTTTGTTTTTGGTTTCTGTTAGGTTTCATTTAATGAAATGAGTAATAAATACAGGAAAGAAATTATATTCGGCTTAGAGCGAATCTTTTGATACTCACCGTAAACGCAAATAGAAGCGCATCTAATCTGTTTCATAAGTCTGAAATAATCTATCGTGTTGACAAAAAAGAAAAAGAAGAAGAAAAACACTAAACTTAATAAACAAGAAGGAATTAGTTAAACTAAAACGCTCATGCATGGAGTGAAGGTAGTGAATAAGCGTATTTAGACCACTGCGATGCTCGATATGTTTTAAACATTTTAATTTACCGCACCGTGTTTAGCACTATGTAGCAATAGAACTTCTTCGGATTATTTCTTATAAAAATACCCTTCAAGTGAACGAAATTTAATGGGTTTGTAACTACTAACAGTTAACGTTAGTAATAGTGATCTTACCAATTTACCTTTGGTGATGTCCACATTTATGGCAGTCGTGATGGAAGTTTCTATGGGTTATAGGTTACGTGATTGTATGTTATGTTTAAATACCATTAAATATGTGAAAAAATTCACATGCAATCAAAGGACTGTTTTCTTTTCTTTTTCATACAAAGTCAAGGTTCTTCAGACTATATATACAAGCCGATGACTGGTTGATTAGAATTAATAATATAACGTGACGGGTAGCAAATATAATGCTTACCTCTATCCCTTTTTAGAGTTATTCATATATGACGTCCTTGAGTGATTAATGCATACCCCAAATGTGTACATGTGCTTCAATGTGAAGGGTCCTTCATCGTTTTGATGCTGTTATGTGTATAGGTTACGGGTGCAACTTACAATAGTCGAAATATTATGATCAAAGGTTAGTAAAGGTTTTTTACTTCCGACTTGCGGGTTTATCCAAACGGCCATTTTTCACATGACGGCATGTTAATTGCCAACAGTAACATCTTACACTTTCTCAGTGTAGTTATGGAAAGTATCGAAAGTCTTAATGTTTACAAATTATGGCCTACTAGGGTGAAAAGGCAAAGGCAGAGTTTCAATGCCGTCGAAAAAGGTATCTTTGGAAAAGGGAATCAAAGTATAAATAACTTAAGAGGTTATATCTTCTAGTGTCTCTTTGTGGCACTATTTACGGTGCAGGGTAAGTTTTTGCGAATTTATACGAAACCCAGAAGAACTAGAGATGGATTCGCTCTTTATTAAGCTCGTCTATCTGTCCGTTTGGTTTTCTTGTGTTCAATTTGCAGGTCGCAAATTTTTTAGATGAAATTTGCGATTTGTTAGAACGCCCGAGGACAAACGCTTTTGAAGACGGAACAGTCTTTCATCTGCTTACCATATAAAATGCCCTTTTTGGGAAAAGTTGTTGTTGTCGAATAACTTTATTAAGCGAAGCCATGGCCTGCTATAAGATCTTCACCTGCTTTATTTGCTTGACTTCCCTCACGTTGCTGCCAGAACAACAAACCAAATTCAATTAAAAAGCTAATGAACGCGGCAGGATTTTTCTGAAAAGTTGGTTTAACACAAATGCCGTTATCTCGAATTTTTTTTGTGTCTTAAAATGCAAACTTCAATTTGTTGAAAAATCTTTGCAAGCAAGGAAAAGCGTATTTTGTAAACGCCGTTCCAAGGCCAATGAAGATGCTGATGAAAATTGAAAAAGCCAGCGTTGCAGCAAGAAATCTGCTTTCGAGAAAACACTGTTCGAAATTGCAAGGTTCAATTTTTAAGACGGTTTTCTGTTACCTTCAGCCTGCGACTAAATATATGGTTTACGGTTGATGTAAAGGCTTCGAAACTGACGCCTTATTTATCTCTAAAGAGTTTTTGTGTTTGTCCGGCCATCCGCCAATAGTCCTGACTGTCCTCAGGGAATTGAAAAAACTCTCAGTTCTTTTCGAGTAGTGTCTTAGAGGAAAAATTTTAATCCTGTAAGCAATTGAATCTGATCTAATTTTTAATCTGAAATATGAAGAATAAGCCTAGAAATGGCAGTAAATAATCTAAGAAGTGGAGTTTGCTTTGAATTTATATAGTAAACGCATTTATTAACTCTTTTGACGAAGCTCCATAAACGCCCCTGCGCTGGATTTCAAATTAGGAAGCGATGGATTTTTTTATGGTTACCTCAGAAGTTCACAACAAAATACCTTTCGAAGGAGTTAAAGCAATTCATACTTTTTCTTTTTAACATTTTTTTGCTGCTTGGTATGTTGGAATAAACCAGCTAAGGACATTAAGCTGGACAATGTTGCCCATAGTCCCTTATACATATAAACATACATGAGAATATTTTTCGAATGAGCTAAAGAGAAAATTGTTCGACTTTTCCGAGGTTGTTTTAGTTTCTTCTTCATTCTAAATGCGTATGCGAACAGAACGAGTCCATTTTTTAACCTCGTTTTCTTAATCAATCAAAGAATGTTTCTATCGAATTTCAGACGCATCAAATTGACAATTTTTCATAGAAAGAATACTGTGTTCAAAAACCAAGACCAATATCTAAGTTAAGTTGCACGGGTATGTCGAATATTAGAATCATATCTTCTCTAAGTTGACAGCACTGGAACACATGTCCGTGTTAAATTTTATAACGTAAACGTGTTAATTAGTGTTTCAGTTGCGTTTGGTTTTGTACGACGTAAAAAGTATTTCATGAAGGGAATTATTATAGGAGATAGGATTTGGATTTACAGGTATGATCCAGAAAATACCGAACAATCGAGCAAAAACGTAGTTTCCTTCAATTCTCGTGATATTATGTACAAACCCTTCTCCTCCTCCTCCTCCTCCTCCTCCTCCCGTCGGGCCAAACGAGGCTTACCAACGAATATTAACTGAGTTTGAAGATTATTTTGAAGGCGGCAAAATAGATTTGGAATAATAAATAGATTTAAAGAAGAACAAAGTGAAATTGATCTTACTTTTTGGACACAGTGTTTAACTGTACAACATGACATTTGCATCAAAATAGCAAAAGTAGGCCATTAAAAGCTAATACTTAGCATCTAAAGATATCGGTTTCCCTATGTTGGATTTTTCAAGTCAAAATTTCGTCAAGTTGACGTATACCTATGTAAATCTAGTCTTAAGTAAGTCTAGCGGTTATGGTTTCGACGTTGCCATTTTCAAATATTTATCAAAAACATTTAATTTTTTAATAACTAAATGTACGCTTTATAACTTCGCTGAATACCATTATCGTAGTAGATTTTCT